TGATTCCATCTTTTATCTTGTTTCTCCCATGAACTTCTAGTACATAAAAAAAGAACAACAAAAAGAAACCAAAAAGTTCAACTTGCAAGAACAGGGAGTCCTATGAAGCAATAGGTTTCAAAATAAACAAAATTCCCTTCATTCCTACTTCATAGACTTTGCTTCTGCCTTTCAACATAAGTTACTCCTGAAGCAGAAAGAAGAGAAAGCATGGAGAAGAAACTGTCTTTTATTTGACCCAGGAACTTCTACATGTTGTAGACTGTCTTTCCTTCCTGCCTCTGTCAAATAAATCCATAAAATGCTTTTGCCTACCACCAGGCCATCTGTCATGCACTATTCTGGCTTTGGCCACTGACATCACCTTATTAAAAGTCACCAAGGATCTCTGAGTCACAGAGGTTTCTTTTACAGAGATAGAATTTCTTTCAATCCTAGACAGCCTCAGAACATCTCTAGAGCCTTTATCCCTATTGAATTTCCTAGTTTGTATCTCTTCTCTCTTTTATACTCCATGACACTAAAATATCCTGTCCCTCTCCTACTTCTTTGAATGAGTAGCATCCGTTCCCATGACTCTTTTTTTCTTGTACTGTAGTGGCACCCCCATTCTCCACAGAAAAGTCTTAACTGGGCTTCTCCAGAAATCTTCACCATGGCTGATTTTAGGACTGTCAGAAAAAGTGTCTCGACAAAAGAGTTCAACGTAGATAATTTCCTATTTTCCTGTTGCTCTGTTTTACTTGGCCACTGGTCGGGAAGAAATCAGCACTCCAGGTGCTGGACACCCCCTGACTAGTTCTTCACAAACATGTATCCAGTATAATAGTTTGTAGAAATGTGTAAACAGGGCCTTTGGCCTTGAGCTGGGGCTTCACAGAGATGTCTACATTTCTAAGATAAGAGAAGTTACCAATTGGGCTCCATGGTAACAGCTGGCAGGGGTGGGAAAGAAAGAGGAGAAGAAGCTCTCCCCTTCTCAGGTGTTGTCCTTGAAAGGTCAACTTGCCCAGAACAGAGAAAGAAAAAACTGTTTTTATGTAAACTTCTACAGACTGTGAACTTCTCATCCCCTCCCCTTACATGCTGGGTATAAAATTCTGAAACTACCTGAACTCGGGGTTCAGGCGACTGATTGATAACAGCAGAAGCTATGCCCTCTGAACCTGGCTGCAGCCAAATAAAACTGTTTCCTTCTTTGGTGCCTTGCCTCGTCTGTCCCTACAACAGTACTTCTCCCCAAAGTTTAGTCCTCGGTATTTTGTTCTTTCCTTCTCTCTCTCTCTCTCCCTCCTTCCCTTCCCCTTTCTCTCTCTCTCCCTTTCCCCCCACTCTCTCTCCAAAAACATTCAACATCCACAATGTTTTAACTATTATTTCTTTACAATTTATACTTGAATCTACACTCCTACATCCATCTGTCTCCTAGTTTTCAACACATTATCTTTAATTCCCCCATGAGATCCTCCCCTTGGACATTTTACTCAAATTCTTGATGTGACTATAACATCTTCTGTTTCCTGCACTCCACTTCCAGGCAGTCAGCATGTCTAATGTAATCTTGATTCCTGAAATTCCTCTCTTTCTATTCCTCCTGCCATTAGACGCATTTCTACAAGTTAGAGTTACTCGGATATTTCCAATCTCTCTTATCTCCCTTTCCCCCAGGAAATCTTGAAATCTGAGGTCAAACTTAGTCTCAGATACTAGGTTTATCCCATTATCCTTTTAACAAAAAGCCACCATGGATCATCACTGCCTTAGTAGGCACTGCAAATAAAAATGCTCACAATGGCCAAAGGTAATGATCAGAACTGGCAGGAAATAATGCAATGGTGATAGGGACAGTTATCAATAAGCACATGCACAATTCAAAAGAGGCAGCAGATGCTCAGTTCTAGCCAAATGCTGCCAGGCAGGAATAACTTCCTATTGCTGACTTATAGGTTCTGTGTGTGTATATGTGTGCACTTCCACACATGCATGTTTTTCAAGAGAAACTCAAAAGCTTTTTTATTACTCAAAAGCTGTAACAAAAAGTTGTTACAGAAAAAAAATGGATTTCCCATGAACTAGATTAATATTTAAATACTGCCAATTAATTTTAAAACATGAAACAGCATCTGGGTCAAAGTCTATCTGTAGGTTTTCTAACAGCTTGCATCTTGTGAGGTCAGTGTAAATGCTCCCACTCCAAGCCCTCTCACCCATCCTACAACTTATCTTCTGAAATCCAGAAGCAAAAAGCACAGAAAACACACTACAAGAGAACTGGTTTATTATAACTATCTTTCAACAACACTCAGTTCTTTCTGAATTACACTTTAGTTGTGTTATTCCCCACAAAGAAACACCTTTCTCCCCATCTATATGCTATTTCAATGTCAAGTTCAAATGCTAACATTTCCCTAAACAACTTCTTGGACCAAATTAGCTGAAGGGAATATCTCTTCCATATTCTACATTCTACACCCAGTACAATGTGTCAGGCACAGTCCCAGACATTTTCTAAGCTCCTACTTGATCATTAGAAATTGAAGCTATTAATATTCTAATCTTACAAATGAGATCATGGAAGCTTTCTCAAAATAAGTGGCAAAGTTTGGGATAAATTCAAGCCTATATGGTTCCAGTGCAGAAGGAAGAATGGGGAATTCATGTGTTGGTCACCTATTATGTGACAAGTGATATATGTTAGGAAAAAAATCCTTAATAAGAATGACAACACCATTCTGGGGATGGAACCCAGAGGTGCTCTACCATGAGTTCCATCCCCAGCTCTTTTTATTTTATTTTTTTATTTTGAGACAGGGTCTCCCTAAGTTGCTGAGGCTAACCTCAAACTTGTGGTCCTCCTGCCTCAGCCTCCTGAGTCACTAAGATTACAGGCATGTGCCACCACATCCAGCTGCCAAACAAAATTATTAGCAAGAATAAATAACACTGCTGAAATAAATTCAGATTCAATGTTTTATTATTATCCACTTTGATCTTCTGCATTGCTGTGAGATAGGTGAGGTTGCATGATTCCAAAACTGCACTGATGAATAATGTGGATCCAGTATTATCAAATGTCAGTGATCTGCAATACACTAATTAAAAAAAAAAAAAAACTTAAAAGACCCCTTTACAAAAATTCTCATTGCAGACAATATTTTATAAACACAAGTTTTAGAAAATTTTAAAACAAGATTTTTAAGAAGAAAAAACTATAGTTTTTAGAAAGGAAATCTCCAGGTCTTCAATGTCTATTTGCTAGACTACCACTTTCTCTGCATTTCCCTGGGTCTTTGCTGACTCCCACTAACCCTGAAATCACTCAAATCCATCTTTCCTCCATGACTTTTGCTCCTGTCTTAGATTTGGTCTCATGGATTTTAACTTAGGACTATCCCACTGCCTTCTTTACTGAATCTCTGCACATTGGTTTTATGGTAAAAACAGCCACATAAAATAAATAATTACAGTATCATACTTTATGACAGACACAAATGTACTGAGTCTTGAGAACAAAGTGAGGAAACCACACACTTGGATATGAGGAACACCAGGAGAGTTTCCTGCTTCTAAAATGATTGTGGTGTGAGAATACAAAGAGAGCTATTCTTCCTCTAATATTTATAGGGTGGACTAAATGAGACAAGGTCTTAATCTTTTATTCAGTTAATCCTCAAGCTAGCCATTTGCATTTGAGGAAACTGAGGCACAGAGAGATTAAATAACTTGCCTGTGAACACAGTAACCATGAGAGGCAGACCTCAGATAGTCTGGCCATGAGTCCATGTTCTTAATTTTCATGGCTCCCAGAAAGCAGGGGCTGGTTTCCTCACTGTTGTATACTTAGTGCCTGGTTCACAGTCTGGGTACATGGAATAGGATCAATCAAATACTACTGTAAAAAGAAAAATGGAAATAGAAGGGGCAGGGGCTGAAATTGTAAAGGGAACATCATGTAAACATTCCCCAAACAAACAAGAGAGGACAAGACCTGATGAGGACACAGAACAGGCTCTTGGTGACTCAATTCCAGATTCCCTAATCTGACCTCTCTTCAAAGGAAAACTTGATCTTGTCATTTCCCCAACCTCATTGTTGAGCAATGTCTTTCAAATGACTGCAGATAATCTCTCTTCCTAATGGATAGCAGGTAAGAGCCACTACACTTTTCCGGGCCTAGGCACATAGAAGTCACACTGAATTCTCAGAGACTCAATATCCTAGCAAGTTTGGCATCTGGTCTACAATGTCTACAATGTATCTTGTTTATTGTAATATAAAAATAATGTTTATAACTACTTAATAATTACAACTCTAGAAGAAAACTTCATTCTTACCCTGACTTCTAACAACGCCTGTCCTATATCTGCTTTCTTTCTGTGCACCCCTTGCTGCAGCTCCTTATGGCTTTGTCCCAGATATTTGGCACATCACATAAATTCCTTTCCACTCCAGACCCTGACTCTTTAGCCCCTTCTCCCAGTTTTCCCGCCAACACAATCATTTGCAACAATGTTGCAGGCCACATATCATGGACTTGGGTAATTTCACTTGTCAACTTTGAGAAGACATAGACATCCTTCCAAACCCTACTCAGCTGTGATTTTTATTGAAGTCCTTACCCCACTCTATTCCGTTCCACAGTATGGGGATACTTGGTAATACTTCCATAGTTTGGTTTACATAGTGTCTCTCTAGTTTGTGCTGTCCCTGGAAATAGCCTTCTGTTTTAATCACCTCAACATCCTGAGTGTCACAAAGAGCCCTGCCATAGAGGTAAATCTCCCATTTATGGGAAACTCAGATGACATTGGATAATTGAGCTCCTCCAGAAAAGGCAGGATAGCTAACTATGAGACTATTAAACACAAATGGAAGGTCTGAGTTCATCTCAAATTTCGATTTTCTTTCAGGATAGAACTCCAGAGTTCAAGTCCCAGGAACATAGAACTTTGGGCGCCCAAGAAGTTAGGAGACTTGGAATTGGCCAAGAAGTCACTCACCAACTGGTGGAAGGCGTGTATCTGTTCTCTAGCGTTTTGGTCCAGGGTTTGTACCAGCTGATCTGCTCAGCGGCTTTGCCCCAGAACCTCTCCGGGTCGGCCACCGAAGCAGCGAAGTGGGTCTTGTACTCGCCGCCGCTGGAGGACAGCGCCCGACAGCCCAGGCCCCGCGCGCCGGGGGCCACCAAAGCCCTCCGGGCCGCACCGGTTCCTCGGGCGGAAGAGGACCCCGGCAAGGGCCCCCCGAGTCCCCCGGCGCCTGTGACTTTGCGACATTGCAGCCAAGAAGGCTTCATCACCCGCCCCCCGGCAGTTCCCCCACCCCCGCAGGCTGTGCTGCCCGCGGTCCCAAGTGCTCCCGATGGACAACTGGGCTGCTAGCGACCGCCGGCAATCCGAAGGGAGCCAGGGGGAGGCGGGGGGAATTCTGAGGTCAGCCCGGAGCCCAGAAGTTTGGAAGTCACACTAGAGTCGCCGGGAAAAACCGACCTGGAGCCACCGAGAAAGCAACAGGCTGGAGTGGGGACCCAACGCGCGTGGGGGGTGGGAGGGTTGTCACTGCGTCTCCGCGGGAGGTGAGCTGAGCCTCCGCAGGAGATCCAGCCCCCACCTGCATTTCCAGCTCCGTGACTTTATCAGAAAAAATCACTGTCAAACGGCTGAGAACATCCTCCCGACTTAGACACACAAGTACTCCTAAGGCAAGGCCAAAGAAGCCAACTCGATCTCAATTTTCAAACAAGCAAGTTGTGCGCGGCGTCCCGGGTTGGTGGAGGTGGCATCGCCTGGTTCCTACGGCGGAAGCCAGCAAACCTGGGCATTGCAGCAAGGCCCCGATTCACTATTCTTATTTATTCATTTATTTATGTATTTATTGAAAATCCAGCTCAATTCTGGTCACCAAAAAAACAAACGACTCCAGGGCAACAATTGCTCCAGGATTTCCTGACAGCTGAGGTAGGAGGAGTGGAACGAGGTTGCTCCAGCCAAATTGGGAAGTGCTTGGAGGGGTGATTGACAGGCAGCTGGGGAAGGTAACCCTATTGGGATGGCAAACACCTGCTGACTGGACTCCCAGTGGAATCTAGAGGCAGAAGGCCGCGAAAGGACTGGTTGCATTTCCTCCCTTCCACTTCGTTCCTTTGGAGTTTCTGTGGCCCTTTATACTGAGGACTAAATATATATATGGTTATGGAATTTGGAGGTGGACAGGTGATGAAATGCTCTGAACTTGATGGTGGTGACTGCTTGCACAACTCTAGACAAACTAAACCCATTGTGCTGTGAATTGTATGATGGCGTGAATTATATCTCAGTAAAGGCTTCTTTCAAAGAAAACAAAACAAAACAAAAAGGCTAAGAAAAGATGAAATGGATCCAACAAAAAAAGGAAGCTGGGAAAATTAAAAGAGCAAGGTGGTGTGAATTATTGTCTGGGGTTGACATTCTTCAGTCTCTGCCGTTTTTCCATGACTTCATGAAATTTGGAAACAATCTTTTCCCTTAATATCATGCCAAGCATATTCTGTTTCCGTGTGACAATATTTACAGTTTTAAATGGAAAGCTACATATTCCAAAATCTGAGGTGAGAAACAATAGATGCCCCTGGCCCTAGAATGGATCATAACTTGAGAATCTGTAAACAAATGATCCTTCAGGAAGAGAATAGGTGAGGATAAAGGCTAAATAGAACAGACATAAATAATGCAAAACAGAAAAAAAAAAGTTTCTTTATATAGACACCTCAACTCTTCTCTTTTAACTAGGAGTAAGGCATTTCAGTATCCTTTTTACTACCCCAAATTCTGATGCTGATGGCAAGAGACACTGCCACCACTTATATGCAAAACCTTTTAATCTCATGGCTCACTCCTTCATTCTTCCCAGTCTCTTAACCCTGCTGTCTTGTATACAAGTTCCACTGACCATTTATACCCCATTGGATTCCAGTGGTGTATTCTTCAGTTGAATGAATATTTAACAAAAAATGAGGACCCACATTATGTAAGTTATGGTCTGTTGGGCAAGATGTGAAGGAAGGACCACACAGTTAGTAATTGGTTTCTAGTATTTGTACACCTTGTACTTAGCACTTTAAAGATAATGTCCATTCCTGTGATTCTCATGAGAGTACCATGAAGGGGGAATCCTAATCCCCAAGTTTACAAAAAGAGTTTAGAGACAGGTGAGCTTGCTCCAGACCATGCAGCTATCAAGTAACACTCGGAACACAAACCTTGTTGATGCTCAGTTTCAGAACCAGGAAGCTTTGAATTACAGGTGAGCTGTGACACTAATTATCTGCACATCAGTTGGAGGGCTCAGAAAATGTCCAATCCAATCCTGTCACTCCAGCATAGTATTGAAATCCATTTTCTTTCTTTTCTCCTCCTTTAACCTGTCTTTGATTTATTTATTTTTAGTGGTGCTTTATAATTATACACAATAGTGGGATTCATTTTGATATATTCATAAAAGCACATAGTGTAATTTGTCTATTTCATCCCTTCTATACCTCCCCACTGTTCCTCTTCCCTTCCCGGACCCCCTCCTCTATACTCTACTACACTCTCTTCTATTTTCATGAGATCCCCCAACATACACACACACACATACATTTTTTTTTTCTCTCTAGCCTCCACAAATGAAAGAAATTATAGGACCCTTGGCTTTCTGAGTCTAGCTTATCTAGCTTACCATGGATATCATTTTCTTTCTTTCTGTGCCTTCTCTTGAATAACTTGGGGAATCTGACTCCAAAGACCATTATTTTCATGCCACACTGATTATTTTCTTATTTAAAAATAACTCTAAATTTTTTAATAAACCATAATAAGTTGAATACCTACACCCATTTTCCTCATTTGAAAAACCCAACTGAAAGATAGTGGTAATAGTAAAAAAAAAAAAAAATCACAAGTACAAAGAGAACCAACTAGAGAGAACAAAGCAAATGAGAGAATGAAAGACAGGTGAGTGGGAAAAAGGAAATTTAACTGTTTGTGGAGAAGAAAATAAATGGATTTCCTCTTGTAGAATGTGTAATGTTTCAGGATTTGGAGGCCCTGGTTCCTCTGAATGATCAGGATGAAGGTTAGGGATTAAAAGCCAGAAAAATGATCAAAAGATTGTATGAAGCAAAGTTAGATCCCTATGTTACTGATGAAACCACTTCTTCTGGACTCATCAGCACATGCTCTTGTGTGTGTATTGTTGTGTTTGTTTACTATGGTGATGGGGATAAAACCCAGGGACTCCCTCATGCCAGGCAAGTGCTCTACCACTGAGCCTTATCCCAGCTCCAGTTTCAAGTTATTGTGTAGAATAGACTGTTAGCATAAGTCCCATTTCAGGCCAAGGGGACAGCATGAATGAATCCATAGTCCAGCAAAGGCAAGGAATACAAGTTGGAACAAGTGCAAGGTACAGGTAAGCAACAGAATGCACAAGAATTAGAAAATTGTAGTGCAGCCAACAAGATAATGAGACATAAAATATTGTCCAGCACAGATCAAGGCCTCCTGGTGAAGGATTGGCCTTTAAATTAAGACAAAAAGCCTATTGATTGATCACTAAGCATATGAAAAGCTTAAAATAATTAGCTATGGAGTCTCAGTTTGCATCTTAGTACTGACACTTGAGACTTGGAAGGTTTACTGTGCTGCAATTTCTGGTCCGTAGTCTGAGGCTGATAATTTTATTCCACAGGATTGTTGCATTTTTTAAATATGTAAAAAAGTGCATTTGGGCAGTAGCATGCCAAACTCTTTCAGGATAGCAGTGAAGGCCTTGAACAACCAATGCTCCAAAAAAATCAACCCCAAAACTCTTTAAGTTTATTAATATACCTAAAATCTTACAATCAGTCACTTCAAAATAAATTAAGCATGCACACAATGTTTGTACTCTCTCAAAAGATAAACTATATTTTAATTAATTTGAAGGACAGGGTAATCACAATCTTCTCAATATTTAAGTCTGATAAAACACAAGTTTTTAAGTGCACATTTTTTATATCATAGTATGTGAATAAAAGTCTGATTAACATGCTATTTGGTATGAAATTTTAAATACCTTCAGCAAAGATTTATTGACAAGATTATCTGAGACAAATATTCTAGTAAGTGGAAAATGCAAGAAGATGGAGAGTGGAAAAATTGAAAAGGTATGAAAAGCTGCTCAAGAAAGATCATAAGGGAAGGGGGAAAACTTGGAGTCAGAATATTCAATGCTAAGGAAAAGATGGTGGAAAAGGAAAGAAAAACAGAGTGGAATAGAATGAAAAGAAAAAAAGATAGGATCATCCTATCAATTCTCCCACTTTAGGGTCTGACACCACTAGTACAAGTTGATTTTAGAGAAGAGAACAGAGGGGAGGGGAGGGGAGGGGAGGAGAAGGGAGGGGAGGAGAAGGGAGGGGAAAGAAGGGAGTCATTTAAAAGCACATGATTTAAAAATAATTATATATCATGCTGGTCATGCAGTCTGTTGGCCACACAATTCTTATTTTTACCTAGAATTTATTAAGACCCAAATGTTTAACTACAAGTAAGTATTCGAATTACTAAAATTTTTGTTTATGACACTTATACATCTAGTGTCTTGGATATTATGAAAACTTGACAAGTGCCAAGTACAAGCCTTTTCAACGAGCACTTTATCACTATAGCAAGTACTTGCTGAACTAAAATCTGAGCCTGGGGGAACACTGAAGATTTATTCTGATTTAGCAAAAGGGTTTCTGGAAAATATGATACCTTTATGGCTTAAAAAGTAGTTTTTAAGTTTCTGAAATGAAATAGTACACAGAATCTAATTGTGAACTATAATTTTGAAATTTTCTTCTTTTTGCCTACACAGTAATTTCAATAAAGATAAGGAGGCAAAGACAGATGAAACATTATTTTAAAACAAATAACATTCCAATGGATGGGAAGACACTCAATAATTCTAGATCACCCTTGAGACATGAGATTCATTCACCAACCTCATTTAATTTGGGGGGAAAAACACTAAACTTATTTCTAGTTAAGCAAAGTATTTAGTTGCTTCTATTCAAGAAAAATTTGAAGGGAGCAACTTAGGGAATATAACCAATCAATTTTTTTCATGGTCTTGTTTTATTTTTAATTTCTTTTTCTTCTGCATGGCAATATGCCACTGAGAAAAAAAAATTCTCATCAATGCAGTTATGAATTCAACGATAGTTATGAATATTTTAATCAAATCACCAATATCCTTGATAGGTCACTTTAATTCTTCTACAGAACTAAATTCTATTGTGGTATTTATAATGCTTTTTTTTCCATAT